GGGGGGGGGGGGGGGGGGGGGGGGGGGGGGGGGGGGGGGGGGGGGGGGGGGGGGGGGGGGGTGGGGGGTGTGTGGGTGTGGGTGTGTGTGTGGGTATTTGTTTAGATATTTGTGTTTATGTGGGTGTGTGTGTGTGTGTGTGTATATATATATATATATATATATATATATATATATATATATATATATATATATATATATATATATATATATATAATAAATAATAATAATAATAACAACAACAAAAACATCAGATTATTATAATTTTTTAAATAATAATAGGAAATAAATACAAAAACAACAAAGCTAAACAGAATAAAACAAGTCCTGCTTTTTGGGAAAAAAATTTAATAAAAATCATTATTATTATTATTACTATTATTATTGTTTATTGTTTTATTATAAAACTGTGAAAAAATAAATCAAATCACCAGTCAATTGTTAAAGCAGTCTTAAAAGTCTGTTGAAATGACATGAAATTACCTGCGGTCCATCTCTGGCTTCATAGAAGTCTCCAACCTTTATTTTAGCACTGAAGCTGAAATGATCGCGTGTAATGTCGGTTATTCCATTTCTGGTCAAATACTGTGAAGAGAAAAGATAAATAAAGCTGCATCAAAACGAGTCTATAAATCTAACAAATACAGACAGATTTGAACTTTTAGGTGTTTTTTTTGTCTTGCCTTGATGACATCCGGGTACTGTCTGAGTTTTCTACCACATGGAGCGAAATACGCCACTTCTCCACGCAAACGGCCAGATATGCTGGTGATGCGTGTCTCTCTCTGCCACCTGCACACAGAAAGAGCTTTCATTAATGGGCAAGATGCATTAAGTGAAATCATGCATAAATAAAATATATAAGTAATCTATAAGTAATCTATAAGCTATAAGTAAGTAATCCACAGGCTGATCTGATCTAAGCATGTTTGTCCAACTATTTGTTATTAGCAATTTTCCATTTAGCCACTTTATTGCTTTAATTATTTAGCACTAGGCGACACGGTGGCTCAGTGGTTAGCACTGTCACCTTACAGCAAGAAGGTTGCTGGTTCGAGTCCTGGCTGGGTCAGTTCTGTGCATGTTCTCCTCGTGTTGGTGTGGGTTTCCCAGACAGTCCAAACACATGCGCTATAGGTGAATTGAATAAACTAAATTGGCCGTGGTGTATGTGTCTGTGTGTAAATGTGAATGCTGGAATAGTTGGCGGTTCATTCCGCTGTGGCAACCTCTGATGAAAAAAGGGAGTAAGCCAAAGGAAAACGACTAAATGAATACATAATGATATACAGTGATAAAACATAGTAAAACAGCAATGGCTCCAGGGGTTAATAAATGTCTCCTTTAGAGAATCCAAGCATTTTTGTAATTAAAACTAGACAAGAGTGTTTGTTTGTGTCTTATTACTTGCAACTCCATGTTTGTTGCGACTGTGCTTGCGTTTCACACCTAAAAGCTAGAAAAACCCTCTCCTGTCCAGCTGGTGGCACTAATGCAGCAAAAAATGAACCTCAAAAGAAGAAAATGATGAATGTTACACAAAACAGTTTTAAATATGGATATTTTCCCAAGAAAAATGCATGGATTTGCTACAAGAGGCCTTCATTAACCTTCTGGAGCTGCGTGAGACATTTGTTATTATGGATGGATGCACTGTATAGGACATATTTTGCATTACTGCTAAAAATAAACCAACTGTTGCCCTTTTAAAGCAAGAAAAGCCCAAAATAATAATAAAAAACTCTCATTGCATTCAACTGAAAACAGAAACTCATCTACACCTCTGTGCCTTGAGGGTGAGTAAATTGAGGGTGGGATAGTTTACATTTTCTAACCCTTAAAGGTTATTGTAAATATAATGCAAATAATAAAATAAAAGTGAATTGAAATGTGAAGGTATGACAGCAATAATCCTAAAAGTAAGAACTCACCCATATTCTAGAGGTTTTCGTAATGCAGATTCATCTGTGACTCTTCTTCTTTTACCTAGAGACAGATCAACAAATATATAAATCGCAAGAAACAAGTACACAATAAATATAGTAATACTGAGAATTAACAATAAATTCCAGGGGCCTCATGTATCAACGCTGCGTACGCACAAAAAGTTTGCGTACGCCAAGTTTCACGCTCAGAATCGCTCACGTTTGGATTTACTAACAATGAACTGAACGTGGGAATGTGCGCAGCTTCACGGCAGCTTCATGGCTGGCGTACGCACATTTTTTGTGCGTGTCTGTTTTATTTCCATTGGCGACTCCTAGAGGCAGTTGTGTTAAATTCCTCTCTACAAAGTGTCTTTGAGCCTTGCAATGGCAGCTGTATGAGACGGGTTCATCTAGCAGGTATGTAAGGTTTCCATACCATGCAGTTGACCAGCTAAACATTAAAGCACAATTTGCAGCAGTCGCCTGTTTTTCCAATGTAATCTGAGCGATCTACTGCACGCACATTTCTATAAAGACACTATCTGAAGGTGAATTTGCATGCGTGAATCAGAAACATTTCCATTCAATAAATGTGCAAATAAAATATGATGCACAGATTATAAATGATTCCTACTTGTCTTTCTCATGATAAATAGTTGGTAAAATCGGATATGTAGCGGGTGGGGGGGATGACTTCATCAGATGCTGTATTCGAACCGAGTTCATGCTCGAACGTGTCAAAACATGATGACATGCGTTTTCCGAGTTGCACCACTGAGACTGTTAAGGTATTTCAACATTTTACGCCTATAAATCACACTATTTCTTTTTAATTCACTCAGTGCGATGTTCAGAACTGTGTTAACAGCATCAGCTAAACTCTCCCACTCTATTTTTTTCTTTTGTTGTTAATTCCGGAGGACACATTTGCAAATAACACCGCTTTTCTCCGGTCTACCTCCGAAAGCGGCACCTCCAATTCACATTCTGTTGAAAGTTTCTCTTCTTGCTTGCTTTTGCCTTTGCTTTTTCGTTGGGTTTTGCCAAAGTAGAGTCATTTGCATATTCATACGGGGGAGGAGGCAGGGAGGGGTTTTGTGCTCGTGCATGTTGCGCTCAGTTTCACGTTCATTCAGATGTACAAAAGAATTTGCGTGAGATTCGGCGTAGGCAGTGTTTCATACATCTGAATTTTTTTCTGTGTATGCACATTTACAGCTTTGTGCGTACGCAATGTTTTAGTATGATTTCCACGCAAGTCTTAGCACATGAGGCCCCAGGTGATTATATTTTAAAGTGTCATTTATTTCTGTCACGCAAAGTTCAACTTTAAGCAGCTATTCTCAATCCTTCAATTTAACACAAGCGGTAACCTCCCACTCTCCCTCGTGAAGCAAATACGGAAGGAATTGAAACTGCAATTCATAGAAAATCCACTAGTCATAACTCCATATAGAGCACATTTCTATTCAGCCCAATGTTAGAATGGCCAACTTTACAGCAGAAAAAAAAGTGTTTACAGCCTGGTACAAAGATTGATTTTGATTCATATAGCTAATATTACCCTCCATGACAACTGTGAGAAAATTAAGGGTGTGGCCACTTAAATGACAGCTAAGTCTCGCTGGTCGCAGTCACTTCACCTCAGCTGATTCCGGCTGATTAGACGCTGAACCAGGCCCGTGCAGAGACTGTCCAAAGGGCATGTGCAGAAGAAAATTTTTGAAGAGCGGGGAGGGGGGGTATGGGGGGTATAGGGGCAGGGGGGTGTCGCGAGGGCACTTTTGATCATTTTGGAAGGGCACTTTCTATCCAAGACTAAAAAGGGCATGTGAACTGCACAGGTTGAGCCCTATGTGTGCACGTGCCTGCGCTGAACTCTGCATTTTCATCATATTTTTGTTGCCTTTTATGTTTCTTTACACAGTCAGTTGCTTTTTGGAATTATTTCCTACAATTATCAGATAATATGACATGCTGTGTGCACTTAATTGTGCTCACAAAACATTCACATGGCCTCTATTTGTCAGGTGAGTGAAATATACTTATACCATCTCTATGCTCAGTGGCTCAATGTATTAAAGCAGTGTTTTTAAAAGTCTAAACACTTTATTGATAAAGTGTACAACCAATCACATGGTCAGAACACAAACGAGTCGCAGGTAATGAAGCATTGTTTCAGCTACATTCATTCTTCCATGGCGGGGCGCCACGACCAAATTCATCCTGCCACGGCTACATTACAGCTTCTCATTCAAAACATTTTATTTTTTTTATTAGCGGGAAATAATCGCACCAAAACGTATTAAAAGATGAGTGAATTATAACAGAGCGAACTTCTCTGTAACTGTAGTAGCGCTGTGCATTATTTATTTACCCCGTTAAGGTTACGTGCTGACAGACTGAGGCCAGCAAACACGACATGATATAGCCGTTTCACTTTACTTCAGGATGCATTAATATCGCTCTGTAGGTCTATTAGAGACATTCAGAAATATTCCAAAGCAAATCTAATAAATGCTGAAGACATACTCGTTACATAAACGCACTAAATCACACTTTAGGAGCATTTATTTTAAAGCGCACAAGATCTGCACGCTCTTGAAGCGGCTTATATTTGAGGGCGTGCAAGAAGTTTTGTGCACGAGCAGAGGAAATCTGCACGCAAGCAAAGAGATCCGCATGCTGTAGGCTATTACATAAATGCGATCTCGACTTCTAATACTGCGCTCACGACATTTGTCATTGAAATAACGCCGCAGGTAGTTAGTAGATCTGTGTCAAAAAAAGCCCTGCCTCCACAGTTGGAAAAAATCCTGGAGTAAACACTGTGAAGCATTAAGCGTTTCTCCCAAAGAAAAGCCTGGGTAAGCAAAATGCTAGCAGGCATCTGTAGCTCCACTCACGTTCCACCTCTTTGCCCTTATGTGGTATCCCCCGGTTGGTGCAATGACGCACGAAAAAAAGGCGAAGGATGGCCACGCCTACTTGTAGCTTCTTTTGCGTTCTTCAGAAACCTATGGGTAACGTCACGGATACTAAGTCCATATCTTTTACAGTCTATGGTTAAACATGACGTCATTATTGGTGTAATGTTTTTGTATAAACTTTTTCTGAATTCTTTGATTGTTAGAAAGTAAAAAAAAAAAACAGCATTCATTTTTTATTCATTCAATCATTTTCCTTTGGCTTAGTCTCTTATTTCTTAGGGGTCACCACAGCAGAATGAACCACCAACTATTCCGTCATATATTTTACGCAGGGAATGCACTTCCAGCCGCAACTCAGTACTAAGACACACGCATAAACTCTCACATTCAAACACACACACAGATACACAACGGTGAATTTAGTTCACCTAATGTCATCTCATGGCTGGGTCAGTTGGCATTTCTGTGTGGAGTTTGCATGTTCTTCCTGTGTTGGCGTGGGTTTCCTTCAGGTGCTCCGGTTTCCCCCATATGCTTAAAAAGCATGTGCTATAGGCGAATTGGGTAAGCTGCATTTTTTGTAGTGTATGTTTGTGAATGAGTGTGTGTGGATGTTTCACAGAGATGGGTTGCAGCTGGAAGGGCATCTGCTGTGTAAAACATATGCTGGATAAGTTGGTGGTTCATTCCGCTGTGGCAACCCCAGATTAATAAAGAGAAGAAGCCAAAAAGAAAATTAATCAATGAATAAATTGACTGCAGTGTATAAGTGTGTGTGTAAATGAATGTGTTTCACAGTACTGGGTTGCGGCTGGAAGGCTATTCGCTGGATAAAACATAAGCCGGAATAGTTGTTGGTTCATTCCACTGTGGTAACCGAAGGAAAATGAATGAATTTGTTAAAAATATTCTCTTGGTCTCTTCTAATTTTAATATTTGCACGAGTAGATGACAAAGTTAATGCAAACCACAAATAAAGGCTAAATTCAACCAGGCAGTGCAAATGACATTAAATGTATGGTAAACTTGCAGCATTCACCTCAATTGCATCTTCTGCTCATAAAACAAATGTGTGCAAAGCAAAAAAAAAAAAACATCCTGCAAATAATCTGGAGCAAGTGTCGCGATGTTCTCTTTGTGTTTGGTGTGAATCAAGCATAAGAGTCCTCTTTCAAAACATTAAAATAATAGTAATTATCCTGCACTTCTGTCCAGTACTGTATTTGCACCATTGCCGTCGAAATGAAGTAATCACTACCTGGGGGTGTGGTCACACTGTAAGGCGAGAACGATGAATTGTGATTGGCTGAATTCCCAGAGCTGGTCACAATGGTGGGCGTGGCTGCGATGGAGGTCTTATGAACTTGCAGATTGAGCGGGGTGGGGCTAGTGTTGTAGGAGGAGTCTAGCACAGATGCTGAGGATTTGCTGAGTTTGAGTGGCGCTCTGTCCGTTTCTACATCTGTGTCCAGCTCTTCATCGTCAGAATCACTCTCTAAGTTGCTGTCAGAGTCTAGAAGAAAATGATATGAAATTGTTTACAGTTTTTCTTTATAAAACAGACTATATTAAGCACCTTCACACCAATAAACAGGAGAAAATCTGTTAATTGTCCACAACTCATCACTTATGAAACAACTTTAATTGACCTAATTGTGTCATTCATCACACATTGTATGGCGGATGGCGGGATGCATTGAATGGCAGAGGGTTGTTGCGGATAAACGACGAAAGTGAGGGGGTGGGGGGGTGAACAGAGGACAGGGGAGGAGGGTATTTGAGGAGGAGGATCGGTTAAATCGGGTGCCGGATCAAATATATATATATATATATATATATATATATATATAGTGCAATTCAGTGTGCAAATATATTTATTTAAATAAATAATATAATGTAGCAAAAAAACAAAAACAATTATTAAACAATATTTAATTTTTTTTAACTCACTAAGCAATTAGCTATTCGACTTTTAATATACACTCACGGGCCATTTTATTAGGTACACCTGTCCAACTGCTCGTTAACGCAAATTTCTAATCAGCCAATCACATGGCAGCAACTCAATGCATTTAGGCATGTAGACATGATCAAGACGATTTGCTGCAGTTCAAACAGAGCATCAGAATGGGGAAGGAAGGGGATTTAAGAGACTCTTAATGTGGCATGGTTGTTAGTGTCAGACAGGCTGGTCTGAGTATTTCAGAAACTGCAGAAAAGCATCTCTGAATGCACAACACGTCCAACCTTGAGGAAGATGGGCAACTGCAGAAGACCACACCAGGCGCTAATCATCTCAGACTGGATGCTTGAACATGACAATGAGTTCACGGTACTCAAATGGCCTCCACAGTCCCCAGACTCAATCCAATAGAGCACCTTTGGGATGTGGTGGAACGGGAGATTGACATCATGGATGTGCAGCCGACAAATCTGCAGCAACTGTGTGATGCTATCATGTGAATATGGAGAAAAATCTCTGGGGAATATGTCTAGTACCTTGTTGAATCTGTGCCATGAAGGATTAATGGCATTAAATAAAGGATTCCAAAACAGTACTATAAGGTGTACCTAATAAAGTGGCCAGTGAGTGTATGGATCGTCTTTTAAATATCAACTAAGTCAAAGAATCTTGCATGAAAAATACAATTATTAAAATGTACTATTAAAGGGCCAATACAGACTAGTGAGGACATTTTTAATGTTGAGAGAAGTAACAAAAGGTAACACTTTATGGTCCAACACTTTTGATGGTCCATTTGAGTATTAATAGACTGTCTGCTTAATATCTGCTGATACTGCTCCTTCAACAGACATTTAACTGACTTTAAGAAACTTTGCAAGTACATGTCAACTTACACTAACCCTAACCCCAACCCCAACCTTACAGTCTACTTATAATCTATTGAGAATTAGCTGGCATGTAGATGCAATGCAACTTAAATTCAACAAACAGACCATCAAAATAAAGTGTGACCTAAGAGAATGATTCCAAACACAGTTTGTAATTTAGTTCCTATTTTGTATTTTTTATTCACCCTCCTGTGGAATTTAAAACCTTTTAAACATTTCCCAAAGGGCTTTTTTAACAAAAAAATTTAAACACATTTTAATTTAATGTAATTACAAACTTATAATTTCACCTTCAAATGTTTTATAACCGGACCCTGAATAATTAAACGTCCCACTGACCTGAAACACTGTCATCTGAAGCGTCATTTCCATCCTCGTCCTCCATTAACGAGTCATCAGAGTCTTTATTATTCATGAGCTCAGACTCCGCCCCAATAATGCTCTCCGCCAATGAGATTCTCTCCCTCTTTATAATCCTCTGTCCTGTTTTTTGGCCAGGTTTGGGTAAAGCAGAGCTGCGTGTTGTAGTACTGAGATTAATAGGACTGCTAATTGCTGGATTTGTGGCTTTCAGCAGTGGTTTATGGGAGCGAGGTTTGGTAATGAGGGCGAGAGGAGCCTCCTGTACTTCACCAGGATGATGATGATTATTCTCGGTAGGAAGAGTTTTGAGGAATGGATTGCTGCATGGAAGATTTTGGATTCTCTGTACTTCATTTTTCAGATCCTGAGGTAGCGAGGGCTGATAGGAAAGAGAGATGCTGTTATTTATTTGAGCTGTCAATCAGTGAATGCTGCCTTCATACGCATGAATACTGGAACACATATGAAAGTAATATCTTGCTGAATTTATTATATTGCACAAAATTGTTCTCATAATAAAGTGTGGAACTGAATTATGCAAATTGTAAAGACTTACTGATCAAATAAGGTTTTAAAAGATTATATTTTATCTGCAAAGTTGCAGTGATGTTGTGAAATATTATTGCAATCTACAATTATTGTTTTGTGTCTGGATATATTTAAAAATGTAATTATTTATGTGATTCAAAGCCTCATTTTTTATTATCATTACTCCAGCCTTTAGCGTCAAATCATTCTTCAGAAATCATTTTAATATGATCTGATTATTAAAACATTCATTATTATTATGAAAATTGACAGTTGTGTTGGTTCATATTTACCATTTTTCTAGATTCTACAATAAATAAAGAATTAATGTAAGAATTAAATAAATGAATAAATAAATAAAATAAAAAAATAAATAAATATATATATATATATATATATATATATATATATATATATATATATATATATATATATATATATATATATATATATTTATTTTTTTTATTTATTT